CGGTCAGTAGATACCTAAGATGTTTGTGTTTGCAAGGATAACTTTTATTCGTTTTAAATTTCATTGAAATCGTTCGATAACATCAAAAATAGCATGCGCCCCAGGATCCCGGGGCGGCGAACTGTGCGGTTCTCAATGGACGCGATCTGCAGCTCTATGGCCGCAACGTAGTATCAAAATAGCTTAAGCGGCCAATAAGAGCTGCTAAACTGCAGCAAGATTTAGTTAAGCTTTCAACTAAATATAGAAGATAATACAACTTTAAATATTGAACTGGAAATCTATTCAGTATGCAACACTTTGACCAATTACTATTCAACAACACAGGAGTATTAAAAGTGCATTACATAACAGTAACAATATATATACATTAAATAAGTGTGTAATCTAGAAGTTTGCGACATGACTAGAGACGTCGCTGTTATTGATTTTGATGTTAAATCTAATGTAAGCTCTCACATCTCATTGTTTGTTACAAAATAATATATTTGCACATTTTTTCACAGGTAGAAAAAATACAATCAAGTATTGCAAGAAAAAAAAGTGCCAGAATACGAGTAGGTTGGAAACACTACAAGAAGACAAAGTACAACTCGGCATACAAACAGATTTACATGCAGGAAGGTGGGGGGATACGTGATATTGAAATGCTTTCATTAGAAATTAGCACAGAAATGATACTAAAAGCATCTATTGAGGTATTTTTTCCAAATGGAATTTCAACTTTTGGAAAGATTGATGATATGGAGTATGTCTTGGGCAATTTTTGTGGTAGAAAAATTAGCATGTTTGTCGACCAGGATGGCGGGCCAGGCACATATAATGATTACTTAAAAGTGCATGGGTTGTTCACTTCGAGAAATACTATGTATTTGATGACCAAGTCTAAGGAGGCAGATGAAGACATAGATGACTCTCAGAAGACTGGAGAAGTGGAGTCAGATGTCAGAGTAACTAATACTGGTGTAAGTGCTGAAGTACAAAGTCTTAGTGGAGGTACTGGTGTAAATGAAGGAGAGATTAGCATGGCTGAAGCTAATACTGATATAGGTACAGAGGTACAAAATCTCAGTGGTGGTATTGGTGGAGTTATAGGAGAAACAAGTGTGGCTGAAACTAACACTGTTATAGGTGCAGAGATGCAAAACCTTATTGAATGTACTGGTGTAGATGAAAGAGAGATTAGCAAGTCCGAAGCTAATACTGGTATAGGTACAGAGATACATAGCCTTATTGGATGTATTGTTGTAGATGAATGCAAAACAAGTGTGGCTGAATCTAATACCAATGTAGGTGAAGAAGTACAGAGCCTTAGTTGTGGTATTAGTAGAGATACACAGGAAACAAGTGTGGCTGAAACTAATACTGGTATAGGTACAGAGATACATAGCCTTATTGGATGTATTGGTGTAGATGAAGGCAAAACAAGTGTGGCTGAAACTAATACTGGTATAGGTGCAGAGAAGCAAAGTCTACCTGGAGCAGGTGGTACTGATGTAAGAGAGCTCACAGATAGTGGTTGCAGTACCAAAGAAGGTAATTTGGATAGCAATTCACATCATTTGTTTCCATTATCAACTGAAGGTAAAATAATTGATAACAACAGTATCCTCCACATCAGGTATTCCACAACAAATGAGTCAAGATATAGTGATAAAGTAGTTACACTAAACTGTTTTCAGCGGTCATCCTGTCGAGAGTTTACTGAAGTTAACTGTCCTGCTCTCAATGAGTATGATCCCATGAACTATGGATTCAGGGTTACACACATAGCAATTGGACAGACTACATATCTAGATACCGCTTATGATGAATGTCACATTTATACCTCCTATCCATCGGCACATAATATTAAAGATGATATAATTCTTCACCATCCTAATGAGATATTTGATTATGATGGGAATGAATTCATTGTAGGCATAGTAACAAACAACCATGGTAGAGATGACGTAATGTACTCATGGTATAGAGATGGTCAACTGATGCAGTATGGACAACATCTGTGTGTTATTGCAGTACATAATCCAGGAGTCTATCAGTGCAAGATCACCATTGGTGAAGGTGAGGAAAATGTAGCTGACATATCAAAACCAATCCAGATAGTGGAATTCAAACAACCCTATAAACGATCATGCAGTGGCAGCTATACAATGGATACATGTTCAGCAGACACATCTACTGATAATGGAGCTATTCCTGAAATTACACGAGAAGAATTTGTGATGGCAGGTGAAATTGGTCGTGGTGCTTTTGGCACAGTTTACCAAGGTGAATGGACAGGGACTCCAGTTGCAATTAAATACATGCAAATAAAACGCATGAAAACGCAGATGCTGAAAATTTTGAAGAATGAAATCAAAGTAAATGAGAGAATTCGCCATCCAAATATTGTTCAGTTGATTTCAGTGTGCTATGAGCCTTCTGGAATATATCTTTTATCAGAATATATTGAAGGATATAATATGGAAGATTGTGCATTTGATGATGATATCAAAAAAATAATGAAACTTTCAACAGAAAACAAGAACAACATTGCCAAGCAATGTTTGCAAGGGCTGGCATACCTTCATACACTAAAGCCTCCTATAGTTCACCAGGATATTAAACCAGCAAATGTTGTGATTGCAGCAGCCACTTATCTCACTAAAATATGTGATATGGGCATGGCTAAGGTAAAATCCATTCAAAGTGTCACCTCAAACACTATGGTTGGCTATTGTGCTGGTACCCCATCTTACATGGCACCAGAATGCCTTCTCCATAAAGAAAAAGCCAAGACTGCGTCTGATGTATGGTTTGTAGGTATGACTCTTATTGAATTTATGACAGAACAAGATGCTTGGAATATTGATGATGATGAGGTTGAAGATCCTTTAACCATAATACTACAGATGATGAGTGAAAAAAGAAAACCCCATATAAAGGATTCCATGAACCACTATAATATACTAAACAGATGCGTTGAATATGTTCCATCAGTGCGTCCTTCAGTGATTGAAGTCTTGTCAGCGTTTCAGTAATTGTGTTTTGAATTATTGTTATTGTTTCAATCCATATTAGCTGCATAAATAACAGTTAATTGTTTTGTTGTCAGTCTAGCCATCCAGCGATTTATAGTAACACATTAAGGCTGCATATATAGTGCTATTATGACTAAGAAGACATTTCATTCTAATCAGCATTATATGGTTTATGTTTTATTTAACGGATCCATAATTGAGTATAATATGAGGTTATTACGAGAATGCCTCAAAGTATGCACAAAGACAGTACAGCAGAGCTTGATGCGTGACATACTGTATGAGTGCATACTTTGAGGTATTCTCATAATAACTTCATTATTATACATCTTTTTACCCCAGACCATTCGTCCCGGTGTTATCGCTATCGCCACACGAGACTCCAGCTTGTCTCCTATACAATTTTCCTTCCGCCCACTTAATTTTAATATTCATATGACCTTTGCACTGACATCGATAGCCAATCGCATTC